TCAAAGTGCGTTCCTCTAAGTCTTCCTACCAATATGACCGAGTTGCGAAAACAAGGTTTAACAACATCAATAACTTAGAAGTGGATTGACCTCGTTGTCGCAACTTGGTCTTGTGTTCAGGGAGAATATGTAGAACGCACCTAGTCCCAAGTTGTCTTGCTTCCCAGCATCTGACAGTGGGCTTGATACATTCTCAAACGTTTCGCCGGCATCGTAGTCCGCATCATCAGTGAGCCTTACCATTCTTCGCACCAAGATACGAACTCGTCAAATAGACAAATCGAGGGATTGACTTCACTTGTCTCTGACGAGTTCGTATCTTGGTGCGTAGAATGGCAAGGCTCACTGATGATGCCGACTACGATGCCGGCGAAACGTCTGAGAATGTATCAAGTCCAAGAATGGCAAAACTCACTGATGATGCCGACTACGATGCCGGCGAAACGTTTGAGAATGTATCAAGTCCACAGTCAGATGCTAGGAATCAAGACAACTACTATGGCAGACGACTTCGGACTCGGTGCGTTCTACATAGTCTTCTTGGATGCTGCAAATTGCCGACTACGATGCCGGCGAAACGTTTGAGAATGTATCAAGTCCACTGTCAGATGCTGGGAATCAAGACTACTATGGCAGACGACTTCAGACTTGGTGCGTTCTACATAGTCTCCCTGAACACAAGACCAAGTTGCGGCAACGAGGTCAACCCACTTCTATAACTCGAAATGAGACTGCGACCCTAACAAAGGCCACAACATCTTGGTCTTCACATCTTTCTATCTTTAGTCTGTAATTGTGATTGAACTAGAAATTGAATATTATCCTAGCATAGGTCTTCTTTCTGAACAATTTCTTTTTGAGCGTCCCATTATAGCGAATCACTTCAACGTTCAGGAACGGAAACCACTCACCTTCCTCTGCTCCCATCGTGAATTGAATTTTTTCATCAATCTGGTTTATAAATTTAAGAAACTCTTCCATGTAACCAAAGTGCCAAATAATCATCCATGTACTGTATGAGCACTGCCGGTTGTAGCGATGCCATCTTGAAATTCCCTTCTATATTTTTCATGTATAAGTTTGCCAAAAGTCGTGAGAGCGGCGATCTCATAGGAAGTCCAAATATTTGTTTTATATTTGTTACGATTGAATGTAAAATAGGTTGTCCT